AGTTTTATTTTCTAATATTCCATATTTGTGTACTTCAACCTAAGTTTTAGAAATTGGCGGTTTGAACAAAGAAGCATTTTAGTATGATCCTAAATAAATACATTATGTTTTGGGAAATTCAATATGATTTTGCTGACCTCTACTTGGAATTAAAAGACAAAAAATTGCATGTAACATAAAAAGTAAGAAAATATACAAAAACAAGACATGACGATTTGAACTAAGAAATAGGCTTTCCTCCATCCTAGAGAAATAAGAATATGCCAATTTCAAGCAAATTCTAGAAGCTTTAGGTGTGTTCCAAAGAAAATAAGTGTTTTTTTTAACTTATTGTTTTGCATTTGGTACGTATTTAAAAAATATTATTTTAAAAGTATTTGTATATAATTATTTAGACAAAAACTATGAGAGGTGATGACAGAGGTAGGAGGGTCTGGAGTCGTGGGGATGGGGGCTACTGGGGTAGGGGTGAAGATGAAGTGTGTTAGAGGATGAGAAGGGACACAATCAATATGAAATGTCCCACGTGAAACCTGTTTTCCCTACTTTCATTAAAGAAATCATTTTCTTCATTTTTGTAGGTACATATAGAGAAAATATTTCCAAAAAATTTGACCAATCAAATATGAGAAATTATAAAAACATTTTTTCTATACCAAACACACCCTTAATCTCTTCAACACAACCAACCATTATTAGTATCACTTGTATATTGCCGCAAAAACATTTAGCGGCAATTCATGAGTTAATGTCATTGCATCCAAAGTCGCTATATACATAGAGTGCTGGTTAATTATAAATACTCAATTATATATTGTCGCTAAATAATTACCTATAAATCCTTATGGACATTTAATTTATCTTAGATACTATCTTCACTATGTTTTCCTCATTTGTCATCTTTCTTAATCAACATGCATATATATACACACTCAAACTTGTTACTTAACTTCAAATAAAACATATATATTTGTTAACTTTACAAGCTACAAATATGGCGATTTCAACGTTTCCATCTGTGGATAAATGTGCTTCCATAGGTCGCGAAAAGGATACAGTAATCGCAGACATGGATGGAACTTTACTTCGAGGACGAAGCTCTTTCCCTTATTTCGCCTTAATTGCTTTCGAAGTCGGAGGTGTTTTAAGGTTACTTATACTTCTCTTATCTTCACCACTCGCTGGACTTCTTTACTATTTCGTCTCGGAGTCTGCTGGAATTCAAGTTCTTATTTTCGTCACTTTTGCTGGGATGAAAGTATCTGATGTAGAATCGGTAGCACGTGCAGTGCTACCGAAATTCTACTCAGAAGATGTTCATCCTGAGTCATGGAAAGTGTTCTCTTCTTGTGGGAAACGTTGTGTTTTAACCGCGAATCCTAGGGTTATGGTGGAACCATTTTTGAAGGATTTTTTGGGAGCTGATTTGGTTTTAGGAACTGAGATTGAAAGTTATAAAGGTAGAGCTACTGGCTTTGTTAAAAAGCCAGGAGTACTTGTTGGTAAAAACAAGGCTGATGCTCTTATAAAAGCTTTTGGAGAGAGTAAACCTGAGATTGGTTTGGGTGATCGTCATACTGATTTTCCTTTCTTGGCATTGTGTAAGGTTAGTTCTAATTTGCTGCATTTTTACTCATCGGATAAGTTTTGAAACTTGTGATCTGAAATAAGTCATGCAGCCGAGTGTGTAGCTTAGTGATCGATGAAATAGGTTGGGCACCGGTGAGGTTTCAGGTTCAATTTCCATGCCAGACACAAAATACTACTCTAATTTTAGTCTCTTTTCGTAAGTGTAGTTTGAAGAAAAAAGGGCAGGGATAGAGAAACAACTTAAAAAAATGAGTTAAAGATTTAATTTCACGAAGAGTTCCGTTAATATAAACCTAAGCTATTTGTATTAAAGAAATGAACAAAGATCAAACCTGGTAAGTTTTTGAATACTTAAAGGACTAAATTAAATCGGTAAGTGTATAGTTAAGGGACTAAAATCGGTAAGTATATAGTTAAGGGACCAAAACTGATAAACTTTTGAATAGTTGAAGGACTAAATCTGTTAAGTGTATAGTTAAGGGACTATTTAGACCTACTCCTATAGTTAAGGGACTATTTGTCATTTTCTCCCCCAATTTATATGATTCACTTTTCTTTTTAGTCAGTCCCAATAAAAACAACACATTTCTATATTTAGTAACAATATAATTTAACTTTAAAATGTTTATTTTACTCGTGATGAAATGATTTATAATCATATAAACATACACCTATCACTTTATTTGGACTGCACGAGTTTCAAAAATCTTTCTTTTTTAAACTTCGGATCAAGTCAAACTCATATAAAATATGATGGACACAAAGTAGGTTATCATTTCTTTTCATCTGTTCTAGCTTTAGTAGAGACAGACTTACTTGGTACATGTTGTTGTTGGGACTTGGGAGATGACAGATATCCTGTAGAATTAATCGAGAGGCATTCTAGCTGACTTGAACACCATTGCTATTAATATTTGTGTGTCTATGACTCAAAACTCATTAAGGTAAATGTTCAAAAAATGCAGGAAGGTTATATTGTACCACCAAAACCAGAAGTTAAAGCTGTAACAACAAGCAAACTTCCCAAGCCCATCATTTTCCATGACGGCCGTTTAGTCCAAAAGCCAACACCTCTCATGTCACTACTCATCCTACTGTGGATCCCGATTGGATTCATTCTGGCGTGTTTACGCATTGCTGCTGGTTCCCTCCTCCCTATGCCTATCGTCTACTACGCCTTTTGGGCGTTAGGTGTTCGTGTCATCATCAAAGGTACCCCTCCACCTCCCGTCAATAAATCCAACAACAAATCAGGTGTCCTCTTCATTTGCTCACACAGAACTCTCCTTGACCCGATTTTCCTCTCTACTGCCCTTGGACGTCCGATTCCAGCTGTTACATACTCCGTTTCACGTCTCTCTGAGATCATTTCACCGATTAAAACAGTTAGACTTAATCGTGATCGAGATCTAGATGCATCGATGATAAAAAAACTCTTACAAGAAGGTGACCTAGCAATATGCCCCGAAGGGACAACATGTAGGGAACCGTTTCTACTTAGATTCTCCGCATTATTTGCTGAGTTAACAGATGAACTTGTACCCGTTGCTATGGTGAATAAGATGAGCATGTTTCACGGTACAACGGCTAGAGGATGGAAAGGGATGGATCCATTTTACTTCTTTATGAACCCAAGCCCCGCTTATGAGGTTACATTTTTGAATAAGTTGCCGTATGAGCTAACTTGTAACGCGGGGAAATCGAGCCATGAAGTAGCTAACTATATACAAAGGGTTATTGCTGCAACTCTTTCTTATGAATGCACTAGTTTTACAAGGAAGGATAAGTATCGTGCACTTGCTGGAAATGATGGAATTGTTGTTGAGAAGCCTAAGATCAAAAAAAGTATAATGGGATGCTAAACTCAAGTACTATATACATGTATTTGGTTGGGTGGAAGTATAAAACTCCACGCCTTAACTGTTGTTATTGTTATGGTTCCTTGCATATATATATATACTGCTTTGCTATCAGCAATCATGTTTTTCCTTTAGTTATTGCTTTGATCCTGCTTGAGTCGAAGATCTTTTAGAAACAGCACATCGTATACCTCGAAGAGGTTTGCGTACACTCTACCTTTCTTAGACTCAACTTTTTGAAATTTCACTTGAATTTGTTGTTGTTACTATGTACCTAGCATTAGAAGATTTCAACTTTTTAAATATTGATCATGTCATGTACTCCCTTGTAAGAAATAATATAATTCAAGACTTCACTTGTCAATTAATTGGCTTGTTTTACATTTCACACTTTCTCTTGAGTTGATCTCCTTTATGTAAAAGTTTGTGCGGATCACTAGAAAGTGAGAGGCTTGTTCGAGTGGTTCTGATGTTATTGTGCATGTTAATACTAGAAATTAAAATATTAAGCGTATGATAATTAATAGGCGTAGAGGGGAAAAAGTGGTGTTATAATTCTTTGTAAATCACGTAATCTCAAAGACATGTTCTCTTCATTATCTCTTACTCCCTCCGTTCACTTTTAATTGTCATGGTTTCCTTTTTTAGAGTCAAGAACTTTAACTAACATTTTATGATGTATTTTTTCATCATATTGATATGAAAGAAATTGCAATTTATAGTACTTTTCATATAATTTTTGAATATTGAAATTTTTTTGTTTAAAATATCGAATTAATTATGTAATTTAATTTAACTTTGAAAATTAGTCAAATTAACTTTCGAAAAGCGCAACATAAGAATTAAAAGTGGAGAGAGAGTACTAATTATCCAACTAATCCTCAAATGACTATCTATATTCTCGACATTTTTTTGTGAAAGAAATCCTAAAAGGATGTTTTCTATGTAATTACTATGTACACAAAAACATAAATTTCAAATGTATATTTTACTAAATTTATTTTATTAATAATGTTTTGGAACTCTAATTAATTTGAATATTGCTACTACTATTTTATGTAGTTATTAATACTAAAAGTAAAAAAAAAAATGATAATAAAACTCTCTTGATCATATCATAAAAACAACTACGGAACAAATAATATAAAACGAATAAAGTATTACTATATATTCAACCACATGAGTTTAGAATGGTATAGCTTGAACTATACATACAAAGATCGAACATTTTCAATAGTTTTAATTTATCCAATTTTTCTTTTATTTCCTGTTTCACTAATATTGTGCTCAAGAAAATAAATACTCTCTTACAATGATCACTTATAAATATAACAAAAAGAAATATATTTTTTTAAAATCTCTTATTAATAAAATTAAAAACAAATTTATAAAAAAACCAAATATCTGTTATTCTTGTGAGTTGGAGCGAGTCCACCGTGATGATACAAATTGAATCACATTCATAATAAGCTTTTCTTTTTCATTTTTCTTCTTCTTTACTAGTTGTTGATTTTTTATTTTTTATTTTGGAATAAAATTGATTAATTAAAGATGGATGGAGGTTCATTCTCTTCAAGCATAGGAGATTCAATTGATTTTGATGAAAAAGATTTATCACTTAGTGATAAACTCAAAGTATTCAAAGCTTCTGCATATGATCCTGATTCATATGTTACCAATCGATGTCGTCAAATGAGCGAAAAGGTTTCATTTAATTTTAGGAAATTTAAATTTGTGTTTGCATATGTTTCAGAAATTTGACGAAGGGGGTAAAATTGACATTAAACCTATGTATACCACATAACATTGTTTGCAGATACGTATCTATTGGTGCATTCTTGTTAAATATGGTTTTGGAGACAGAATTATGGACTAAGATAACAAAATTGTACAGGGGATTGGAAGTGAAGGGTGCTTAACATCCGAGTAACTCGCTCCAATCAGCACTTGATTAGTTGATCACGAAGGAGAAAACTGTTTCTTATATTTTGGTTATTCTAATTTGAAATTTGGATAATGTGATTATTTTGTTGTAAAAGTAAAGTGCTGCTCTAGTAACAATTAATCAACGACAATAGTTTAATTGTTGTTAAATATGTATTTTTATCGGTAATTAGTACTTTTTGTAAATGTTCCTAAAATCTATAGTGATATTGGATCCAATGACAATTAACTAATGTCGGTAAAAACTTTAACATTCTTTGTTAATGTGTATATTTATTACCGCTAAAAGTTGTTTTTGCTGTATTGATATAAAGAAATTTTTGGAAATTTTGAACAGGAAATAAGGCATTTATGCCATTACCTTATGGACTTAAGGAAGGCTTCTGCAGAGGAAATGCGAAAAAGTGTTTATGCTAACTATGCTGCTTTCATACGGTAAGCAAACTCAGCCATACTAATGAATTCAATATCTGTTACTTACCAAATTTTTTGCCATTCTGGGATAAGTGGTGTTATCTTTGGAAACGAAATGAGAAGGATAAAAATGCTATGGTTAAAAGAATTGAGATATCATTCTTAGAACTCGAAGATATGTTTATATATTTGCCATAAAAACTCGACTTGCTATAAAGTAAATATCTCTTAAATAACAGAAGAATTTAAAGGAATGCTTACAGTGAATGTCGCTCCTCTAGGTAGATGTTCGTTGAACTTTAGTGGGAGCTGTTCACATATCTCTCCGCCAAGAACTGAACTTTGCCTGAAGCACATGAAGCTGGAACATTTTTAGTCTGAAACAACCACTATCACTCCTTTTGCAGTGTATCTAGGCTGTTGCTGCATCATCACTTGCAGAAGTGTCTTATTCGTTTTATATATGCAGCACATCAAGGGAAATATCCAATCTTGAAGGACAGCTTATTGCGTTGAGAAATCTCCTATCTACTCGAGCAGCAATTGTTCATGGTTTAGCTGAAGGAATTAATGTTGATTCTCTGGCTAGCTCTGATGGTTCAACACAAGATGATAGGTCTAATAATGGTGATAATGATAGCACCAATACTGAGAGTTGGTTAGGACAATTTATAGAGAAGCTTGAAGTGTTACTTGCTGAGAGGAGAGTTGATGAAGTTTTGGATGTGCTGGATGAAGGTGAACATATGGCAAATGATACTCGTAGTAAACAGACATTGACTCCATCAGCGTTATTATCATTGCAGAAAGTTATCACTGAACAGAAACAAAAGTTAGCAGCACAGTTAGCAGAAGCTTCTTTCAAGCCTTCAGTTGGTGCTGCTGAGCTTCGTTCTGCAGTACAAGCTCTAAAACGTCTTGGTGATGGACCTCGTGCTCATACCTTAATGTTAAGTTCTCACCAGCAGAAGTTGCATGGTAATATGCAGGGTCTTCGTCCTTCAGGTACTTCACATGGAGTAGCATATAGTGCTGCTCTTTCGCAGCTTGTTTTCTCGACAATGGCACAGGCCACAAGTGATTCCTTGTCCTTATTTGATGATGAACCTTCCTATACATCTGAGCTAGTAACTTGGGCTGTCAACCAGACTGAGAATTTTGCTCATCTTATTAAAAGATATGTCATAGCTTCACCAGCAGCATCAGGATGCTTAAGACCTGTTGCTGAAAGTGTTCACATAAGTCTCGGGCACTGCTCTTTGTTAGAAGCTCGCGGGTTGGCCCTTTCACCAGTTCTCCTGAAAAATTTTAAGCCCTGTGTTGAGCAAGCACTGTATGCCAATATAAAGAGGATTGAGCAGTGCACTGCTGCACTTGCTGCTGCAGATGATTGGTCGCTAACTTATCCACCAATCGGCTCACGTTCTCTAGGAACTTCATCTCTTGCTGGTGTAATCACCTCCCAGCCAAAGCTCTCAAGCAGTGCTCATAAATTCAACACAATGGTTCAGGTAATCAACTTTGCACTGTAGCAGAAATAAAAAACTCTTGCATATAGCTTTTCATCTCATATCGTTATCTTCCTATAGTATGTAACTGAAGCTCCTTCTGGCACTAAACTTGATCATTCTCACAGGAACTCTGCGAGGACATTAGTCCTCTCGAAATCTTACAATTGTCGGAAAACACTTTGGAAGGTGTGATGCAAGTGTTTAACTCATATATAGGTATGTTGGTAAAAGCATTACCTGGTTCAGTGGACAATGAGAACCTCGAAGGATCTGTAAACAGAATTGTTAGGCTGGCTGAAACAGAACCTGAACAGATTGCTTTACTAGCCAATGCATTATTGTTATCAGATGAGCTAATCCCTCGTGCAGCCGCCAAGCTTTCATCTGCACAGCAATCTAATAAAACAGATGATACATCTAAACGAAGTACGGACAGACAATCCCGTCCTGTAGAGCAGAGAGAACTGAAACGGAGACTCCAACGTTTAGTTGATCAGCTCCGTGACAGCTTTTGTAGGCAACATGCACTTGAACTCATTTTTTTGGAAGATGGTGGCGTTCGTTTAAGTCCAGACATGTACCTAAATATGGATGGAAATCCAGAAGAGATAGAGTGGTTTCCATCTCCAGTATATCAGGAAATGTTCGGGAAGTTAACTCGAATTGCTAGCATAGCATCAGACATGTTTGTGGGAAGAGAAAGATTTGCTACTATTCTTTTGATGAGGCTCACTGAAACTATCATCCTCTGGCTTTCTGAAGATCAAAATTTCTGGGAAGAGATTGAACAAGGGCCAAGGCCTTTAGGTCCACTTGGCCTTCAACAGGTTTTTTTTTGTCAAATTATCTGTTTTCATCTGTCTTTTTCTCTCTTCCCATTCTTTTGAGAACTGAAACACTATTCTGTTTCCCCTGCAGTTCTATCTAGATATGGAATTTGTGATACTGTTTGCTTCACAAGGGCGTTACTTGTCTCGAAATCTTCAACAAGTAATCAAAAACATCATAGGCAGAGCTATTGAAGCAGTTGCTGCAAGCCACATTGATCCATACAGGTATACCATAGATAATAAAACAAATCCCCTGAATCATAATCCTCTTCATTTATCCGCGATTGAAACCGACAACACGAGCAGGCTCATTAATGTTAAAAAATTCTTATCTGCAGTGTACTACCAGAGGATGACTGGTTTGCAGAAGTTGCTCAAATTGCTATAGATATGCTAACTGGGAAAACACAAGTAGGGACCATGGAGAATGTTAGTAGCCCTACAGCATCATCAGTTCTTTCTCATGGAAGTAACTAAATTTAGAACTGTCTTTCCACTAAAGGATAGTAATCAATTAAAATACTTCATTTAGTTTCTTGGTTTCTTGATTGGATAATCAGCTAACATACTTCATTCAGTTGGTGTTTTATTAGGAAAATTTATTTATTTAATTGTATTCTGTTTTTTTTTTTTTATAGCTAAAATGTAAATTTATCATGCAACTTCTCAAGTATTCGTTTTTGTAACGGTGGTGTCTAGAACAGCTTGAAATGCACCTAGACTATTCCATCGAGGAACATACTACTACCGGCTAGAATGTGGCAGGTAAGAAATCACCTACCTTTTTTGGCCTCTCCAGAGATTAAAATCATGGTCTTCTACTTAGGCCATGAACTAGATCAGAATCATTCTCAACGAGTTCATAAGGGTGTTTTCGCCTGTTCGGTGTAGAGTTTACATTTTTTCGAAAATGTTTCTAATTTTCTCATGTTCGGTTTATCAAAATTTTCGGAAAACATTTTCTCTAGGAAAATAAATTCCTTAAAAAATGATGAACATGACTTTTCGAATAGAAATAGGAAAAGCAAGTTCCATAAGTGGCATTCCACATTGATTGTATCCTCTTCATTTTCACCCCACCCCGGTAGCCCCACCATCCCACACTTCTACCCCATCCCCACGATCTCATACTATTTGTCTAGATTATACACGAATGTTTTTAGAATAATATTTTTTTACCTACGTACCGAACACAAGAAAATAAGTAATAAACTCACTTATTTTCCTAGAAAACATTTCTCTTCGTACCGAATACACCCCTAATCTCCATGATTTTTCTCCCACTTCATTAATCACTAGGTCCCCGAGTGCAAAGATGCTACACCTATTGCATACTTTGGATCTCATTATACTAGATTAGCTCTACTATGCAAACATTACAGGGGAATGTTAGCATCCATCTTAAATATTTTTTCTTCACATAGTTTTGTTGAAACAACCTATTACAATATGATCTAACTGTGACTACAACTTTTTACCTTCATATTCTCCAAGATCTTTACTTTCAAAATTTTGAGCATATGAAGTACTAAATGGATGTGTTGCATCAAAAAATCCAAAATAAAAACAGAAAGAATGCTGCTTGATGAAACATTGAAACAAAGAACACCCACTCAATTGACTATTTTCTCATCCTTGTCCATAGATTCAAATATCTATAGCTCGCTCGATAAGCCATTTGCTTCGCGAGAGAGCACATTTGAAACAGAGATTTTGACAATTGGAGAAAGGGAAGGACACAAACTAGCTAACAATAACTTCATCACTTATTTGCCATACCCTGTGGATTACACTGTTTGTGCACCTATTCAAGGGGTTTCATTATTAACCCCGAGTTGCTGATAATTCACATAGTCGATTTCATTTAACCGTATACAACATAAGATCTGCTCCGGCAATTCTTCAATTTTGTTACCCTGATTTGAAAAGTGAATAATTACTTGCAGCTGATTTTCGAAAGAAGAGAATTTGAGGTCAGATACAGATACTCACCTGAATTGTGAGGCCTACATCCAAGGAGCATAGCTTTAGCCTATCTAGGAATGTTTCGCAACCCTTCCTAGAGATGTAACTGAATCTGTGCATATCTATATCAATCTCAAAATAATTTTCTCCCTACAAAGACATCATTAGCAACGTAATAAGAACTTGAACATATTTCCTTCAATATGAATAAGACGATGTGTGCATTCTTTTCTAAGATGTGATGGCACTCATACTAATGCCCGCCCACACAAACATAAAACTCAAGTTGCTCATCCAAATAAAACTCAAATCTGACAATAATACCTTATAGAACTCATGTTGAGGACGTGAAAGAACAGGTTTTTCATTGTACGCCTGCATAAGCTTCCTCTCTGCTGCACTTAACCGAAGGTCCTCCACATTTGCTACACGACCTAATATCTTCAACCTTTCCCTAAAGGGAACACTACCATCCATTGGAAAAGCCTTCACTTTTTCCACTTCATCATCCATTACTCTCTGATCAATAGGAAAGAGTAGGAAAAGATTGTTCAGTAAAAATTCCGACTCTGATAGTTTACAAAGAAACAGACAAGAGGTGAATAAACCGTGAAATAATGACTGGGTAACAAGTAGTACCCAACTCAATACTACTAGAGAATGTACACAGAAACTAAAAGAATGTGAAAAAAGAAAACACCAATAGAGAAACAAATGTTACAAGAGGCACAATAAAAAAGACGAACATGAAGAAACATGATTAAACAATTAAGAAGCAACAGTAGATATACAACTAGAGACAGGTTAAAAGAGAAACAAGGACCAATGACATGGTAACTAGAAGTCTAGAACTTACTCTTATGTTCTCTTGAAAATGAAAAGGAAGTTCTTTTGCATAACTTTCGGAAAGCTTAAAGTACAAGACAAAACTCATTCCTTTACCATCAGTTTCACCCTGAAAAATTGCAGTAGGATATAGTGGTACCTGTAAAAAAGAAAGAAAATGAAGGGCGAAAACAGCATCTTAGCAACTCAAATGCGTGAATATTGTTATTAATAGCGGTTATACGGCCAGCTATATTGGAAACCTACATGGAGGAGAATTAAGTCTTATAATTCAAAAGCCATTTGGGTGTTGAATAACTTTGACTTTGAAGAGACTCAAGCACATTTCATGTGTATCTTAAGCACAAAAATTACCTATCTTTAAATTAACCATCAGACCAACTTAATGACAGCCAGAGCAATGGAGAAAAAAAGAAAAGAAATACACTTATTCTCTTAAAGCTAAACTAAACGGTACCTGAATATTCACTACAAGAATGGGTGGAAGTGTCCCAGAGTGTTCAATGACAGGAAGTTCCACAAGTCGAGCAATATGATCAATTTTTCTTTGAGATAAAAATACATCAACACCAAAAGGATAATATGCAGCATTATTTGCCGCAAACTCTTTCTTTTTGTCCCTGCAGAAGTTAAAATATGTGAATGATACAACATAAACAAAAGTAGAGGGTAGTTGCATTGGCAGACAGCATGCATACACAAACTTATGATAACCATAACGTCCACAAAACACATCTTTAACTACGGGCATATGTATTTTCCCTTGCTTTTCTACTTTTTGTAAATGAAGGATTGCATCTAAGCCATTTTTTTATGACTAGATTGTCACACTCATAAAATAAGTGTATCTGTAAGTATATTACCTGAAATAGTTTCCTCCCCGGACCCTGAAGGTATTTGGTTCAATATGGGACCAACTATCAGGCAATTTATTCTCCAACAGGCAAACTGGTACTTGGATACCAGCTATGGGCCTTTGAAGCACGGTTTTAGATGAAACTGCACCCAAAAACAAATAAAAGTTAGCTAATTGTATTTTCTTCTCCTTGATCTGGTAACTGGATCACAGATAACTTAATCATCACTCTTGAGTCCATCCGAAAGACAAATTTATAGAGAATTTTCAAGCTCAAACATTTACATAAGATGCCAAACAGCCAGTTTTCAGGCTCAGAGACAGACATATGATGTCAAGGATTCTGTTCCTCTATCACAATCACTCTCTTCTTTTCTTTTTCCTTCTCTCTTGATTTTACAGCTTGATATACGAAACAGGTCTAAGAAGGTCAAAATTGAATTTTGAGAAAACAACTAGACTAAATTTTCCCTTAGAAGTGCATTATTAAAGATCCGCCAGGTAGTGGATGTAGCTTTTCTTCTGAAGCGTCTTAGTTCGTTGCTGCTGAAGTATAGCATTGAGGTGAAGAGCGCATTTTCTAGGTCAAGTCTCCTTTTGGAACTACTTTTCCTTTCTCTCAGCTAGACTAATTTTCTATTAAGAAGTAGATTGTTAAGATCCATTTCACGCCGAGGTGCAGCAGAGAATCAAGGACCTTGACAAGGATGCCTTTGTTTTATCTTCTATACTAACCCCACCTTCACACTCTTTCACTATATTAAGGGAGTTGCTTAAAAGGAGACGAGGTACACCTAAAATCACATGGAAGACAGTGGCCTCAAAAGGCCTATAATCGTTTGGAATGAATTCACACTTAGCGAAAGATTTATATGAGCAATATCAATTAGTTGGTTAGTATGTTTTAGCTGTAACTAGTTTTATTACTGCCCTGTACAAATCAACTACATTTTCAGTCGTATTTGCGGAGAGTTGTTATAGTCCCAAAATACCAACTCCAAATATATAAAACAGCTGAAACAGTCATCAGATAACACACAATTTTGCCTCAAAGAAGATGAGACATGGATAATCCAATAAGAACGCTAATTCCCCAAAATATATTTTGAGAAAAGATATTCCTCTGAACAATAATAATTGCTGTTTCTTGAAAGATATTCCTCTTAACAATAACTAAATCCTATTATAGACGTAGCGTAATTCTTAAAATTTCATCTTTATATATGTCTTCAATAGAAAAAATTGCTAATTACTAATTGCAACAAATTTAAGATACTTTAGAACTAATATTTGAAAAAGTAACCAATAATGATGTTCAAACTTAATCCATTATGTGATGCACATTTGAAGAACTTCGTGCCAAAGCAACTAGATCAAAAGTTAGATGTAGATACTCACGTAGAGTGGCACAAGGATTTCCATCTTTCCATTTGAAGGGAAGCTTTAGGTCCGCTTTCTTCCTTGAACTTGGAGGACTAGAGCTAAGAGATCTCTTCTCAACAGGCACAACAGTGGAGGTAAGACAGGGCAGACAGTTGTTTGAAAGAATTCCACAGTTCTCCAACAAACCATCCTCCCTGTCACTACCTATATTTTCAGAGGACGAGATCTCATCAAGGAAAACAGGTCGTACCTCACTGTGAGGTCCATCATGGTTTAAATTAACATCCCCATGGTTAGTATCTTTGATAGAAGCTACACTAGTCCGCCCACAATCAAAGCTGTTGACAGAGAGTACATCTGCAGTAATTGTGTTTATATTTTAATTACTAAGTTCAAATGAAACAAAATTCTAACAGTTGAAACAGAAGATCGAAAACTAGAATGCTGTACCATCAGGAACACTCTGGAAATCTTCATCACTGCAATCAGATTCAAATATTGCAGCGGAATCAAACCATGCCTCCTCAATCCGTCCTGTGATTTTCATGACCAACATTAAACAATTGAGAAGGTTATTTGTGATGATTTTATCTGCTATTCACCTTTCGGATAAAAACATGAAAACTTAAACTATACTAGATCCTTCTCAATGAATGATAGATGGAATGTTGAAAACACACTTATGTCCTAACGGACAACGAAACATACAATCTCACTTTAACTTGCCACTTGCTGAAGGCATTTGATAGGAGTTAGGAAAAGAAAACGACATTACAAGAACATGTGAAACTATTAAGGCAAATTGTATGCAGTGGAACAACACACCATCTAAAGTTTTACTATACAGGTAATTTGTATACAAGACGAGCCGATAAAATTGCATATTATCACAACCATTAAATTTGAGAATGAGGTGCTCATCACAATCTATATCTCACCGCTATCTTACTCAATCAATCCATATACTAAATTCCTTTTTTCCAGCCACTCCAAAGCTCCTCTAAGTAAAATCGAAAGAATACTCCTTTTTTTCTTTCTAAATTGGGGATAGAGGAGAGAAAATGGGGAAAAAAGATTACAAGGTGAGGAATCATACTTTCACCAACCAACCAGGTGAAAGTTCAGGTAACCAACCAACTAAGCTACTAAAAACTCGAATTTATCGAAACTTTTCCATCCTAAATGGATCTCATCACCTCCAAACCTCCATATCTCCATCTTAAAACCCTTCAACTTAACCAAACTGACTCAAAATTACAAAATTTAAAATGCTAATTACTTTCACAATTAAACAAAATTCTAGATCACAACACCTAATAATCCCCCCCAAAAAAAAACATGAAAACAGAGATAGAGAGAGAAAGTACCCTGAAATGTTGGATTGTAGTTATCCAAAGGAAATGACTCATCAATTTTGTGAAGTGAGCTAGATTTCTTCCTTCTTCTTCTTCCCCTTCTTTTCCTAAACTTATTCGAACCTTTCAATTTACCTCCAACACAACTATCTGGCCGCGATACACATGCTCCCATTTCCGCAGGATCATATGCTTCTCAACCAAATAATCTTCAAAATCGTTAACAAATACTATCTGATATCAATAAAAAAGAGAGAATTTATATCTATATCATTTTTTTATAGAGAAAATCTATTGATTTTGAGGAAAAAGGAAGCGTGAAGAGGTGGAAGAAGCCATTAATTATCTCCTTATCTCCAAAAAATCGGTATATTCTTGGAATTATGTTATGATTTTCAGAGAAGAAGAAAAGAAAGTTTCATCTTTTCTTCTTTTCTTCTTTTCTTCTTCTCATAAGGAAGTCAAAACACTCTATTAATACATGCGGGCACATTATTGTAATGACGATTGGTGAGAAAAGCCCAATTTATTTTTTTTGAGTTTAAAATAAGTGAATTATTAAAAAATTTAAAAAATTATTAAATATTTTTTTATATTTACAAAATAGTGAGAATTTATGTCTTTAAATATTTTTTTACTTAATATAGACTAAAGGAACTAGTAATTAATAATCAGATATTTAGATTAGATTAAACTTATATATAAAAAAAACAAATGGCCATGGTCAATTAATTTTGTAATCCTTCACAATTTTAATTTTAAAACTTTTGTAAAAATAAATTAATACTATTCAAATTAAATAAATATGAAAATAACAAGAAATTTGGAAAAGTAGTATTTTTCTATTCAAATTGTATATGATCATGGAAGATCATTTCATCGTGGGAATTTGATTAAGTGTGAAAACATGAAAGTTAGGAAGACAATGAGTAGACTAATTTTTTTAAAATATATAAATAGCACACGCTAATCAATATTTTATTTGGTATATAATAATATATAAATGCATGTTTATATTATATATATA